TGCTTCGGGCTCCCTCCTCCAACGCCACTTCAATAATCAACAGTCTGAACGAGTATCTAAAGTAACCTCAATGTGCCATGTGGCACGTCTAATTAGTCCCTCGTCAGCTCTGGAGCAATGTCAACCAGGTACGTATTCACGATCTCTCCACAGTCCTGATCTTCCTCTTCCTCGCAACCAGTCACCTCATGTAGACAGCGTGGACAATGCCACGTCATAAATAAGACAGGTGGCAATGCCACATCATCAATGAAGACCAATAGCAGTGCCACATATACCAGAGGCAGTGCCACGTCAGCATGCCACGTAGACCATAGGCAGCGCCACATATACCAGAGGCAGCGCCACGTCAGCATGCCACATAGACCATAGGCAGTGCCACATATACCAGAGGCAGTGCCACATCAGCATGCCACGTAGACCATAGACAATAGGCAGGGCCACATATACCAGAGGCAGCGCCACATCAGCATGCCACGTAGACCATAGGCAGCACCACATATACCAGAGGCAGCGCCACGTCAGCATGCCACGTAGACCATAGGCAGCGCCACATCAGCATGCCTGGCGTACAATGCCAGCGTGCTGCCTCTCCCTCGTGTCGTCGTCCGCAGCTCTGATGCACAGCCAGCGTCTGGCCAGCGTCGCGCTAGCATAATGCCAGCGTCAAGTCAAAGTCAAGCCAGCGTTGAACCAGCATAGCAAGACTGAATGCTGACCACCTCGAGGCCAGTCTTTAAGTAGTGTTTTGTCAAGGCTCTCTGGCCTCGGGTCTCCTTCCCTCAGTCGTCCAGATTGAGTCACAGCCGAAGGCCTGGATCGTACAGTTGCAGACTTTCCCCTTGGACCTTATGCTGTCTGGGTACCTGCATACAAACAAGTGTGTGTGCTTGACCGGCGGCCTGGACTGGGTACCTTTGGACTTTGACTGTTGAGGTCAAGGCAGTTGACAAAAGTCAACTGTCTCACGTCCAGGCCCTGAATGTTTGTGTGAGGTCTTTACCCCTGTTTTGGGCCTGGGCTGAGGGTGGCCGAGTTGGCCCTCAGTCTTTCCACGAGACATATGGCATGGGTTATTGCATCATCTGAATAATTGACCCTAAATATAGACGGACGTAAGGGGAAGGGAAGGGAAGGAGATGGGAGAAGGGAGAAGGGAATGGAACGGGCTCCGGTCAAGCTCTATTCAAACAAATCTATTGGCCCTCGCCACAATGAAATGTGATATGCAATGTGAATTGCTATTAAAGAAGGAAGAATGAAAAGAAGGGGAAGGAAAAAGGGAAAGAAAGAAAAGGATAAAGAGACAGAAAAGAAAGGATAAAGGGAAAGAAAGAAAAGGATAAAGAGACAGAAAAGAAAGGATAAAGGGAAAGAAAGAGAAGGAAAAGGGAAGACGGGGAACTGCCAGAAAGGAAAAGGGAAACCACAGCAAAATGAACGGTAAGGTGAAGGGAAAGGCTGGAAAACGGAAGGAAAATAGAAAAGGGAAACGGAAAAGGGAAATGGAAAAGAAAGGGGAAGAAAAGGGAGAGGGAAAGGGAAGGACAACAGAAAAAGAACAAGGAAAAGAAAGGGGAAGTGTAGTGATATGACTGTCACCCATATATGAGGCGAAGACAGCCTGTGGGGAAAAAAAAAAAAAAAATTAAGAGGAAGGGAGAAGGAGAGGGAAGGGAGAGGGCGAGGGGGAGGGCGAGGGAGAGGGAAGGAGAGGGAATGGAGAAGGAAGCCGGGCTACTTGGCTCACCCAGCTGTGCAACCCGGGCAAGTCGCCTGGGGGTCACCTGCATGGGGCAACCCCTTTTTTTTTGGGTGGAGGTTTTCTGAGCATGGCCAGAGGAGCCCAAATCCGGGCTCCTTTCTTTTTTCGAGTGTTGGCTGTCAATGGGGGGGAAGGGGCCTTAAGGGGTTTGAACTTTGAAGGGGGGTGCCCTAGTCTGATTCTGTTGTATTCTTTTTTAACTTCGATTCCATGAGGAACACTGATGTGACCCTCAGCCAAAAGTCGTTTCAATCGGAGGCTGGACCTGGCCCGTGAGCGTCGACCGAGCCTCCGGCACGCCCTGCTGGATGTAAGGGACGCTGGGTCCGGTTTCCGGCTTGTAATAAAAAAGAAAAGAGTTCAAAAACAAAAAAAAGTCGTTTCTACCTTTGTATTGGAATTTCACACAACAATTTTTTTTTGGGGGGTGCTGGGGCTGTCCAGAACCCTGCCCGAGGTTCATGCCCGGCTGGGCACCCGGGCGTGTATCCGGGCGCAAGTTGGGTGCCCGGGCGCCCGGACAAACAGCCTACAAGGAAGGAAGTGCTAGAAGTGGAAAGGGAGAGAGGGTATGAAGGAAGGAAGGACGCTGAAGACCTTTTCTGATCATTCAAAAGGCAGGACCTGCAGCAGACTGCTTTTTAGCAGTCCTTCCTTTTGGGCCTTTTTTTGCCGTTTGACTCATAATTTGTACTGAAATTTCTATTATTTGTGTCGAATAACTTGGCTTTCGTTTTGCCATATGTCCCTGGATGGTGGACTTGGATGACGAACTCCCTCCAAAAAGGGGGCACCCCTTCCTGTTGTGTGCCGCCTCCATGGCGAGGCCTGGCCCGTGTCGTCAAATTGTCTTATCCCCATTTCAGCATCATCTCATGATCCCAATTTCCACTCGTGGCCTTTTTTCACCATTTGACTCATAATCTTTAGTAATTTTGTAGTAAAATTTCTAATATTTGTGTCGACTAACTTGACTTTGCCTTTCCACATGTCCCTGGATGGTGGACTTCGATGATGAAACCCCTCTAAAAAAGGGGGACCTGGCCTCCATGGTGTGGCCTGGCCCGTGTTGTCGACTTGTCTTATCCCCATTTCAGCATCATCCCATGATCCCAATTTAGAGTCCTGGTGTCGCATACCAGAACAAGAACCGACCTCTCTCACAAAGTACAAGATAGCGTAGCGGAAGACTTAGATACCAAAGATCCAAACAATCAATGTTGCAATGCAGCCCCAAACATACATCATCATCATTCCATGGTGTGAAGGGGCCTGGCGCTCACACAGGAGGAACGTGCCAGTCCCCAACCATACACAGACGAAGAAGAGGGGGGTTAGACGAAGAAGAGCGGAAGATGGGAATGTCGTCAACACCAAGTCTTCAGCACAGGCCCCAAATAATCCTTGGTCAAATGTCTGAATGCCAATGTCGAGTCTGGACCCAATGTCGTCAAGTCCCAAAGTCACAACTCTCTCTCTCTCTCTCGTAGTCCGCAGATACTGAGAAGTCAGGTAGCGAGAGGGTGAAGAAGAGATGGTGGACTTAGAAGAGGAAGAAGAAGAACTCTCTCTCAGTCTGGTACTAACCTGTGAAGGTGGCGCCTTGTTGCAGGTACATCGAAGAGGAAGCTGGAGCTATGGCGCCACAGGTAAGTCTCCCTGGCGTCCGCCAACCATCCATCTCTCCCCCTCTCCAATCCTACTCTAGGTGCTACTAGCGCCCAACGCTGAAGAGTACTACTACTCCTGCAACGCTCCTCCAGAGTGCTGCTGCCGAATCCTGAAGACTACCTCCTGCCTCCTTAACTGCACGTGAAGTGCCTGGCCAGTCCTTATGAACTACCTCCTTCCCTTAAGGCGGCCCAGTCTTATATAGTGCTGGCCCGTCCAGGAGGCTGCTCTTGCCAATGCCCAAACGTGCCAGACCCTGAGGAAGCTTCCGGGAGGCCGCTCTTGCCAATGCCAGAACGTGCTAGCCCCTGAGGAAGCTTCCGGGTAGTTTCCAGGTAGCTTCTGGCTAAAGACTAAGGGTCTATGGGCCCTTGTTTTCAGGTTTGTCAGGCTGAACCGACCCAGGGCCTATAGGCCCTCGTTTTCAGGCTGTCAGTCTGACACAACACAGGGTCTGTAGGGCCTGTAGGCCCTTATTTTCAGCCTGTCAGGCTGAACCAACACAGGGCCTGTAAGCCCTCGTTTTCAGGCTTTTAGGCTGAAAACGCTGGTCGGGCCCTGCAGGCCCGTGTGGCTGCACAGTATGCCACCCCCCCCCCCTCCTTGAAAGACCGAGCTTACCTGCGAGGGTGAAGCTGCCTGTCGGAGGGAGGGACCAAAGTCCAGGTGGGAGGGGCAGGTTTGCGAAGCTTTCTTAGTTGGTCTTCGTCGCTCCTAGTCGGCGTAGATCAGCGGTGCAGATGCTTGCAAATCTGCGAACTTGGTGTCCAAAATGTCGAAGGACACGGCCTCGCTTACATGCGGGGCAAAGTACACGGGGACGGGGTCAATGCACCGGTCGATTGACTTGTGCGTGTGACTGTTAGCCAACGTGACTTGCGTGGGCTACGACTTCCTCCGAACGTGTGGCCCCAAATTGTGGCCCATATAGTTGCGAGTGTTTCCGCTATCGATCAAAGCGTTGCAGGTCGCCTTTTCGATCTGGATGCGTATGTACAACAATGGCGCGTCGATGTCGTCGTACCTTTGTGTCTTGAACTCGCGATCGATCTTCGCAACGTAGTTGTGAAGGTTGATAACCTCTACTCCGGCGTCCATCAACGGAGCTGGTACTACAGTATGCAAGTAATCCCGCAATTGTGCCTTGAGCATGTTGCAATGCGGTTTCGGCAATCGACCGGTCAGGGGAACTGGCATCCATTGGAAGTCCACGAACGTCAACAGGTCAAGCTCTTCAAGTCTTGACCATGACGTCGAATTCTCGGCGATAGATAGTGGCGAAACTGCCAAATCGGTTGCCGATGGTAGTGAAACCGTGCATGCGATGGATTGTTGCATGTGGAGTGGTTGGTCCAACTCTGGGACCAAGTGGACAGCGTAATCCTCGTAAGTGAACCGAGGACTCGCGACATTCGCATCCTCCCTAGATGTGTAGGAGGCCGCTAGCAAGGCGGCCGAATCTGACAGAGTGAGAGATGGAGTCGCCTCACCTTCTGTGCAACTCAGTTTTCCAAGTTGATGCGAGGCCGAACATCCTCCTTGCCTTGATCCTGGCAGTGGGAGGTCTTGTGCTTGGTGCTATTGCACCAATAGCAACAACCGTATCGGCCGTGGTACTTGTATTCGGCCTCGGTCAAGTTGAACTTCACCCATGGTGCTGGCTATCCGTTTCCTATCGGCGATGCTGTTTTCATCTTCCCTTTATTACGGGAGTTGTTGTTGCTTCGCGGCTGGACGGTGGCCACCTGATCTCCCTCACGTGATGCTTGGGTGGTTGCCGGGTCTTCCACAATGTTGTCCGGTTGGACTGCAGCAACATGTTGCGGACGCGGATCAAATTTCCCTTTTTCCACATAGGTTGGTTGCCATGCCGACTTCTCATGTGCAGCCGCTCTATTGGTCTTGATGATCTTCCTTGCCTTATCGATGATTTCGGCGAAGGTCGTGTATTGATCGCGATCACCAAGTGCGAGGCTCAAGGCGGCGCATGACCGGTTGTAGAACTCCTGGCGCAGATGCGAAAATGGCAACTCAAGATCGGGTGTCACAGTGATCTTTTGCCATTCCGTGAGCCAGTCGCATGTCGATGTGTTGCCTTGGGTCATGCTGAAGAGTCGGTTGATGGCGAGCATCGGGGCGTCGTCCACGATGAACCGCTTCTTCCATAGCCTCGTCAACTCTTCCCTAGAGATCTTCTCATGTAGATCGGCGACCTGGACGCCGTGGATGGACGCCAGGTGGCTGAGCCAAATCTGGCATCCGCCTTTTGAGTTGAGGAACAACGTGTCGATGTACGAGTGCTCGGGGACAAAAAGAATCTGAAGTTCCGTCGTAAAGCCCTCCCACCAGGGGACCGGGTCTTGATGCGTATAATCGTCGAACTTTTCGATGCGGAATGTCGGCATCTTGTAGTGCTGCGCACTGGTGTTGCCATCCTTGTTGGGCAGCTGGTGCAGTTGCTGAACCTCGGTCTTCAAGGTGTTCAGTTGCTTGCTGATGGTGGCTATTGCAGCGAAGGTGCTGATGTCGCCGAGCATTGCGAGTACATGGTCAACTCGTTCCTCCAATTGGCGGGTAGAGGGTGCATTGCTGGACTCGCCAACTTTTGCTCTTGGTGCCACTTGCTCCAAGTCCTGCACATGGGAATCAAGTGCCCGTGTAGCATCCTCGTGCAGATCCTTGTGGTTTCGCACCGCCCGTCGGAGATTCACCAGGTCGGACTGCAGGTGGTTACAAGTGTAAACCAACCGGGTCACAAGTTTGGCAAGGAACTCCTTGTGCTGCTCTTCCTGTGTCGCGTTGTCGGGACAGAAACCTGACAAGGGTATCTGCCCTGTATTTTCGATGTCGGACGGAGTCTGAATTTTGATGTAAGTTTGGGGTAATTGGTCTGATGAAATAGACATGCTATCGGAAAGTTCGAACTCGTCCTCGGGTTTGGCAAAGACCACAGGGATGAGCGGCCGTGGAAAGACTAAAGTTCGACCTATTCTACCTTAAATAATGTCACGGCGCGAGAGGAATAGTAAGGTTTTGTTTCTGGGTCGCCGGGTTGACCACGAGCCAGGGTGGCCCCAGAGTTGTGGCTAGGCAGCCATCCACGGGAAAGCAGCAGGCAGGCAGAGCCTACTAGGCCACCGGTCGGCAAGGCCTGCCAGACCGGAGATAGGCGTGGCCTACTAGGCCACAGGCAGGGTGGGCTTGCAAACCCCCGACGGGAGGGAATAGAGACTGGGCAACTGTTCTTATTGGAGAACTGCTGCTATCACTATCGTGATAGGAGCTAGCCCAGTAGGTTACGGTATAGGATTGTCACCAGGCAGATACCGGGATCGAATCGAAGGAACCGCACCTCTGGCATAGCTCCTTTTTGGAGCAGCCCGGTTTTCTCTGGCTCGGTCGTTTCCGGCCGTGCGATCCATAAGATCATCGGCTGGGAACAGCCGCGCAGAAATTAGCATGGCCCCTTTGCAAGGATGACACTTATAAATCGAAGTAAAGTAAAAAAATATAATAATAATAAATAATAAAAAAAATAAAAATAAAAAAATAAACAGCACCACATGGCGCAACGAAGATGTGTCTGAGAGCACATAACTAGTGACCGTTGGCATAAGCCAACGGTTTTATTATTGCAAAAAAATAATAATAATCTAACTAAAGGTAGGCGCCATGTGGCGCAACCAGAAGAAACGGGGATTTACAGTCGCCACAAATGGTTGCAGACGTCGTAATAACGGGCAGCCAACTTTCAGGTAAAGTAATTTTGCTTTTTTTGCTTTTTTTATTATTTCCAGATATTCTTTAGATTTTTTTAGAATCTTTTTTTTCCTAAGCTCAGCGGCCGTTCAGGCAGCTGAGTGTTGTAGCGCATGAACCCAGCGCTTATGGCGCCTGGGTACAGGCGCAGAGTAGAAAGGTGGGGGGGGGGAGACGACTATGCCAGGCTGTTTCGTCAGGCTCCCACCGACTCATCAGGAGGTTGGAACCTCTACAGCCCAACTAAAGAATGAGCAAAAACGAATGGATCCACCCTCAAATCATGGGTGTGTACAGGCGCCCATTTTTCAGGGCGTTAGTACATCAATCTTAGATAAGTTTTTTTTTTTTTTTTTTTTTTTTTTTTTTTGAGTCCTTTTTGTCTTCTTCCTCCCCGTTCCCAGCCGTTGGGGTACAGCCAACGAGAAAAAACGGGGAGAGGAAGAAAACGAACAAACTATCTAAAAAAACAAAGAAACAAAACGAAAACGAGGCAACTGCCCCGTGAGACAAAAGAACAGTCTTTTCGACTGTTTGGGAGAAAGAAAAGCTCCCACTTCGTTTTGGGAGGAATAGTTGTGGCCACGAGATCTCAGATCTCGTGGCTCACAGCTTGCGCGCGTAGGAAAGGGACTGAGGGAGTTGATGAGAGGGAGAGAGAGAGAAATGGGGTAGTTGGGAGGAGGACCTGCTCCTCCCAACCTGACAACTGTGCTCCCTGTTTTCAAGGAAAGGGCGGCAAAAGGAGGGAGCAACTGTTGGCAGACAATTGCATGCTCCTGGCTCAAATCACGGTCACGAGCATTTTAATTGGAGGGGTCAAAGTTTTTTTTATTTTTTTCCTTTATTCTTTTTTCTTTTTCTTTGCTTTTCGTGAGGATAATTGTCCTCACGTGGTGTAACTGTCAGGTTCCTGTTTTTTAAGGGAGCCTGAAAATTGAAGGGCCACTAAGGAAAAGGCTAGGTGCAGCCTTTTCCCCGATGTATCTGCCCAGGGAAAAGGGTCTAGATACATCAAACTGTGAGGGGTTGTATCTGCCTAGGGAAAAGGGTCTAGATACATCAAACTGTGAGGGGTTGTATTTCTCCAACCCCTCATCAGAAAAATAAAAGAAAAACAGATTTGGAAATGGCAGGAGCCCAGTTTTCTCGTGAGATTCCGAGATAGTTGGAAAAAGGGAAAAAAAAATAAAAATAAGGGCAGTTAAAGAAATTGCCCCACACTAAGGTTGTGGTTGTGGTGCGGCCACAATCAGCCTTGGATCTTGGCTAGGTCAAGGGCTCACTGTGAGCCTGTGATTTTGCCTGGGGGCTGGAGTGACGTCCAACCTTCCTCAACCACTATAAAACAGGCAGTTGTCCCCCAGCTGCCACACAAAGCACTCTTGCTGTCATTGAGTGGCGTGCACACTTGAGTGTTGCTTGGCTGCCAGAGACACCGTGGGAGAAGGACTGAAGTTCTTCAGAGGAGCGTGCAAGGAGTTGGGCAGCCATAGCCAAGGTAGGGAACAATCTGTTCCCCTCCCCTCTGGCTGATGCTGGTCCCACGGGACGGATCCAGGGACACTGCAGGGCTACGACAGTGCGGCAAAGTGGAATTCGGGCCTAGGGTTCAAATTTTACTAATTTTGGCCCGCCATTTTTTCCACTACGGTGGGGAAGCGCTATCGAATTTCTGCGGCGACGGCACCGACTGTGGTGCGGAAGCGCTGTCGAATTTCTGCGGCGGCGGCACTAAGTTTGACGGCGGTGGTGCGGAAGCGCTGTTGAATTTATGCGGCGGTGGCACTAAGTTTGACGACGGTGGTGCGGAAGCCCTGTCGAATTTCTGCGAAGGCGGCACTAAGTTTAACGGCGGTGGTGCGGGAGCGCTGCCGAATTTTTGCGACAACGGCACTAAGTTTGACGGCGGTGGTGCGAAAGCACTGCCGAATTTTTGCGGCAGCGGCACTGAGTTTGATAGCAGTAGTCCGGAAGCGCTGCCGAAGTTTTTCACAGTGACGGCACATGATTTATAGCAGTGTCAGTGATATTTTTGCATTGAGCAACAACTGGGCATTGGTGCAGTGAAGGTGCCGCTATAGTGGTGTATTTTGAGGTAGCTTGGATTTGACGGCGCGGTAACGCGGTGACGGCGGAAGCAATTGGCAGGGACACTTACTTAAAAGTAAGTGAGAAGGTGTTGTGGTAGGTGGTCGCAACAAGAGAGTGGTGTCGATCACTTTGCTGACGACTGGGGACGACTACCTTTTCGTCAAAAAGGGGCGTAATTGTATACGGTCTTCTTGAGTGTGCGGTGCAACTTCACTCAAGGTCAGTGGACAGTCAGTTTGACTCAGACCCTTTCAAGCCTGAGTGAACCCGCACTTTGCTCGACCCTGTTCTTTGAATGTTCATTGAAAGGTAGAGGAAATGTGTGTTGGCGCGTGTGAATGTGAGTCTGACATGAGTTTGGGTTTGCACTGTTTCTTTTGTTGAACTTGTCGTCTGATTCGATTGCAGGTGTGGCTTATTGAAATGGAAGTGGGTCGACCTTCAGATGGCTAATGTTTGGTTGTTATCACTTCTCCGCACTTCTATGTATGTGTCAAACCGAAAGAAGAAAGAAGACGACGAAAAATAAAGCGATCACTAAGAAGAAAAACCTGAATGGACATAAATTTTCCCTAAGGTCACCGGTTCTTTCCCGAATGACCCTCTCCGTCTATGTTCGTCTGTCTAAATGACTTTTCTTATGTGATCATTTTTCGTCTAAGTTGTTCTTGACGTGAGGCGGCAAGAGGTCGTTTGCTCACCGTGATAGATTCCTTTCCTTTTGTCTATAAGGCATCTGAGGCGGGGATTCGTTGCCTTAGGGGCCGACCCTGTTATCGACTCAGAGTGGATCGCTCTGCGGGGGGGTACCATGCTGTTGTGGTGGAGCCAACCCGGCTTCTGAGATCCGAGGTTCTTTCGAACGAGGACGAGGGGTATCCCAGACCACCTCCTAGGGGAAGGATAGGCATATATTACTATATTCACGGAAAGACCTCTAGAATTTCTTATCGCCTCGCGTAAGGAAGAACTGTTGTAGTATACCCCTTTGGTGATCATATTAAGAGTCACTGACGCATGGGGAACTGGTGCCATAAGCAACCCAGTTCGTGTCATACTAGTTTAAGCAGAGTGCAGTTAGGCACTTTTATCGCGGATGACCATGCCAGAAGAAGCACGAACCGAAAGGAAGAAGGATGTATGAGTAATACTCAGTAGCAGAGATTTCAACGTAACTACTCTCGTCTTTTTTTCCAGATGGCAGCAGGGACGACGGTCTGTTAGCTTTTTCGCAATCGTGACGTAGCGGCAAAATGGGCTGAATCCTCGAGACGTAATGGAAAAAAATTAGAGAGAGTAGGGCGAGTCGTCTTCAATCCGGGTGAATTATATTTTGAGGAGGATGTTTCACGGTTTTGGGATGACAGTGCGCGGAACCCTCCTAGACGACTCATTTTCAGGTCACGAACGGGACTGGACATCCTTCACTACGAGTTCGCGCCACCACTGCCTGATCGCGACTTCGTCAACATGAACTTAGTGGTGATGCAACCATATGAGATAAACCCTCGAATGGACGAAATTCATGAGATAAGTCCGACTTTCGTTCGTGCCGTATTTTGGTTGAACGAACGACAGGGTCCTTTCTTTGGCATATATCGCATAAGACGAGTACGAGCGAATAGGTTCATCATTCTACGAGTTGAACCATTCTCAGAGTATGCATGGCAAGATGAGGAGGACGAACTCATAGAACGATTACTCAACTGATGAAGTTTTGTTCTGACACGCAGATGCCTGGAGCTCGACGAGACATGACCATCCCGAGGTACCTGCTGGTTCGTGATACGCTTCAGGGCGATCTCATCAGAAGGAGCAGAGCAACTCTTACGAGTTCAAGATGGTTATCTCACGGAGTGGATCAACTTCATCGGCTAACTCCGAAATGGAGAGGGATTTTTCCCTAGCACTCGCGCGGATTTTCGAGCAAACACGGCTTGAACTCTTGAGGAGTTTTATGGATACACATTGTATTTTCACCGTGCGAGTAAACTCCAATGTCTCTCTGAGTCACTGTGAGTATCAGGCTTACCTCGTTCGGCAAACGCTTCGGCATTGTTTGGATCCAGGACACAGAGACCCGACATTTATTTGGACTTAGTCGGCCTTT